CTTCACTCCTGAAGATTGCCTAGTGCATGAAACAGCCTGTAGAGTGAAATTACAAGTTCCTTATTATTAGTATTATTATTATTATTATTATACCGCTCTGCATAGCATCGAGCACTATACGTTGCCTGAACCGACAACTTTATATTCATTTATATATATACATATATATATATATATAGACCAAGATATACATATATTAATATATATATATATATGATATATATCGTTAGAGGAGGCATATGGTACCAAAGCGTCGCCTCCAGCAGACGCATGTCGAGCTAAGACCCCTGATGACAATGCTAGTCATGTTTTGCGATCAGATGTAGAAGACCTGATGTCACCACCTACAGGACGTAATTGGAGTGACCCTGTATGTTCAACACCGTCACCATCACACGAACTCCCTGAATTCCACCAAGCCTTTCCACCAGCTCAAGATGTAAGTATTTATACGTTGCTAATAACCTGTTACTACTGCTATTACTATTATTAATTGCATAATTCGATTTCGATTTATTAACAAAGTCACATACACATTTACACGTGGGGTCACAGTATAAAAATAAGTAAGCTTATTTGTATAACAATTTATGAAAATATGAAATTGAGATATAAGAAATTATACTGGAAGCCGGGATTGTAGCATAACCTTTTGAAATGATGAGAAAATTAATTTTTAACAGAAAAAAAAACTGAATCTAACTCAAAGAAAATAACTCAGATAATTAATTTCTTTACCAGGTCCCCATGGACCCGATTATGTATTCCATGTGTGCTTAATCCAATGACCGGCAGTAATAATGCTGAGCATAGAGGTCTCTGCAATAGACAATCATTAATTATTATTATTAGGCCTATTATTATTAGGTCTATTATTATTATTATTATTATTATTATTATTATTACTTTTATTATTTATTATTATAACCATTATATAGGACTACATATATTATATATAATACATATATAAATTGTATTATTATATATAAAGATTGCATCATGTACTTATTACTTGTTATTTCAATCCCAACAGTCTGGTTGGCCATCGTTAGAAGAGGTACATGGTACCAAATTAACGACATTTAATGAAAACTTGTCAGTGGAACCATCGGATGAATACGGAAACACGTCTGAAGCTCTTCACTTTCCTGGGGCAATGAAGGGGTCGGGCATTTTTTTAGAGCCAGAAGATATGAAAGTTTTCATGACATCCGAACCAAGTGGCCATTGTGTTCCAAACGGACTTAAGCAAAATGTTTACTTTTTGTTGAACGATAACAACAATCTATTGCGACGTTCGCAAAAGAATTGATGACTGCGGAGCGTGGGACAAAAAGGCCTCATCGAATACGCATACATATTTGATTAACAACAGAATGAAATTAACATATATTGAGAAATCAAATGGACAGTATTACAAAAATAAAAAGAAAGGTGAGACAGTATTATTTCCTCAACCAGCAGAAGACACAATTATTACATTTCGGCGGTACTACTCATCACTGAAGGCGGACAAAACCTTTAAAAAACGGATAACAAATATCATCCAATGTCCGGAAAGCATGAATGAACTAAAAAAATTAGCGATATATGAATACATTGGCAGGCATCCAGGACAACCGCTACCACACGGGAATTCAAAGAAAGGCGACCAGATGTATATTCGAACATCAGAAAACACTCACAACAAGATTAAGAAAATGGTTTCAACAACTGCACCAAGGGAAGTATACCAGGAACTTGTTTTGAATGCTCAGTGTGCCCCACGGGACTTAAAACAGGTCCAAAATGCTAAATATAGCGAGTCAGCAAAGTTGCATCCAGACCAGCGACGTAAAAACGCAGCAGACGATATTCAAACCTTAATTAACCTATTTCAGAATAGTGACTTTATTCAGGAAATTGTGCACACGAAGGGCAAACCTCCATCTGTAATTTTATATTTTGAGGAACAGTTAAAGGACATTGCAAAGTTTTGCTGTAGCACTGCACCACACCCTAGCGTCTTAGGGATTGACCGAACATTCAATTTGGGTCCTTGTTATGTGACCACAACAGTGTACCACAATACAAATTTAATGAGAAAAGGGTCGGACCTGCATCCGATCATGCTTGGACCCGTGTTCTTACATTGGGACGGTCTATTTACAACGTACCATAGGTTTTTAACGCACCTTCAAGGAAAGCTTAATGCAGGTATTGCAGGAACGATGATCAGTGGGTCACAATTGGTATTTGGATCCGATGAAGAAGTGGCTTTAACCAAAGCGATACAGAATGCATTTCCTGCAGTAAATTTAGTATTGTGTACTCTTCATTTGAAGAAAAATGTGTGTCGTCATCTCGAAAAAATTGGAGTTAAGGAAACTTTACGTAAAAAAGTATTGAACGATATATTTAGTGAAAGTGATGGATTGGTTTCCTGTCAGGATGAATTTAGTTTTAGGAAACTGTCTATGTGTCTTAATGAACAATATACTAAACAACTACCAGATTTTGTAGCATATTTTAAGAAGATATGCGATAAGATTCTTCAATTTATAATTATTCCGCATGGAAGAGATAAATGGATTCCATTAGATTGGAAGAACAATTATTGTGAATCTATGAATAATATTTTAAACCTAAGCACGAATTGGAAAGTTCTCAAACTACCAGATTTAGTAGACAGGATTAAAAGTATTGTTCAGCTCCAGTTATGCGATATTCGCAGAGCTCTCCATGGAGTTGGTAATTTCATTTTATCACCATGGGTAGCAAAATATGGAGTAAAACATTATGATTGGGTAAAGAAGCGTAATGACGATAAAGACAAGATCTTTAGTGATTTTATGAATGCCGCACCACCCAAGAAGAAAAGGACAATAACTTCTTCCGATGGTCTTCTTAATTTTCCAGTCACCCCAAAGAGCGCACGTAAACCTGGTCAACGTAGGAGGGTTAAACGTGCAAGGACAGTGACGATAAAGTAGACCATTAGGCCTACTTATGTTGAAACTTATTTTGTAATGCAATATTCACCGATATTCCGGCAATAAAGTATATATACTGCAGAGTTCCTAAATTGACTTATTCTCTTTATGTATCATGTCCGTTTTGTACTGTGCGTTTGTTTGCTCTCCTCACCCACTCCTAACTCACTGAAAGAAATAGGGGCCAAAAAATTGCCATTCTAGGCCTCTGTGGGTTTTATCCCATCTAATGAGTATCTTAAAAAAAAAAAAAATATCTACCCGCCACTTTTTATCATTAAAGAAAAGAAGGGCAAACAAACAATTCAATTTTATGCCTTATATAGATAGGTCAACTAGCAAATTAATTGAAAGATGTGTACAGTAATGGATATAAATGGTAGATAAATAAG